CTTTTTTTTTTTTTTTGAGACAGAGCCTCAAGCTGTCACCCTGGGTAGAGTGCTGTGACATCACAGCTCACAGCAACTTCCAACTCCTGGGCTCAAGTGAGTCTCCTGCCTCAGCCTCCCAAGTAGCTGGGACCACAGGTGCCCGCCACAACGCCTGGCTATTTTTTGGTTGCAGCCGTCATTGTTGTTTGGTAGGCCCGGGTTGGATTCGAACCCACCACCTTAGGTGTATGTGGCTGGCACCTTAGCTGCTTGAGCCACAGGCGCCGAGCCTAAGAATAGATTTTAAAGTTTCCAAACATTGTAAAAACTATTTTATTGCTTGTGTTATTTATTGCATGTGGTCACAGAGGCAGGGCTGTATGGTATACAGTCTTTGAAATTTGTTGATACTTCCAATCAAGTATATAACTATTCATTTTGTAAAATGTCCCTGTGTAGTCTCTTTCATACATACTTTTCTATTTTTTGAGTTCAAACTCAATGGGCATTTGGTATGTTTTAATGTCACTCAGACTCTTTTGCACCTTCCCATATTTATGCAATTCCAAGGTGTAGACCAAAACTCAGTTTCTCAATTTCCACTATAGCCAAGTTTTCTTTTCAATTTCAGTGAAATCCCCCTATGCAACTGCTAATGTGTTCTTTTCCTATTTTTCTTATTTCCTTTTTTCATAGTTTCACACTTTTTTTCTATTCTAAAATAGAAGCTATTCCTTCATTTGCCTCTTTGTACATCTTAAGAACCATTTCTTTTAAAGTTTTTTTTCCATATTTTCCCATAAAATTAATTTCATCTGGGCTCAGTGCCCGTAGCAAAGTGGTTATGGCACCAGTCATATGTACCAAGGCTGGCAAGTTCGAACCTGGCCTGGGCCTGCTAAACAACAATGACGACAACAAAAGCAAAAAATAGCCAGGTGTTGTGGCGGGCACCTGTAGTCCCACCTACTTGAGAGGCTGAGGCAGCAGAATCACGCCACGGCACTCTACTCAAAGCAACATAGTGAGACTCTATCTCAAAAAAAAATAATTTAATCTGGGGTACGGCAATGTCTGCTGATTTTGTTGGTTGCATCTTTAGAAATTTAAGATTTCTTTATATGGTTTGGAATTGAGCTTAGAGTTTTCATTTTAAAGGGAAGAAGTCATTCATAATTCTTTTCTCTCTCACCCCCCTCTTGCTCAGCCCACCCTATGTAATGGTTTTACAGTTGCCTTCACCTGGCCCTTGCAGTTACCAGCCAGGAATCCTATATCCTTATCTACGCATTTCTGAGGCTCCTGTTTTGTGTGACTACCAGAAACAGTGTGAATATGGGTACCAACCTAACAACTTCGCTAAAAGCTATGACACTAGGTAGAAGTTGGCAATAATCTTTTTCTGTCCCTTTTAATGAAATGTGAAGCCTTCTAGAGCCAAAGGCATTAATCAAGGAGCTTGATTTATGTCCCCCATCCGGAGCACCTCTAGATCCTTTCCCCAAGGGTCCAAGAACTATTTATCCATAGGAGTTGAATTTGTACCTGCTTCAGCCTCTTCCAGACCCCATCCCTGTATCTTGTGCCTTCAGCCACAGTCACGGCACTGCCATCTTGTCCCATTTCTGACCCATGGAGATGTTGATTTTGTTTTTGGTCCAGATATGTCTCTCTGCTTTTCTGTTTTATTATGTTATTGATTAATGACATGTGTTTGGGTTAAAGTAAGTATACCAAAAGTAAGAACTCCATGCATCACCATGGCCAGAACTTGGGGACACCCTTCATTAAGTCAGGGAAAGGAAGTCATGCTTGCTGGGAAGTTGTAATGGCATGTCACTGCAGGCTCAACAAGGGCCCTCAATGATGTTCACATCCTAATGTGAAGAATCTTTGAATGTGTTACTTCACATGGCAAAAGGAACTATGCAGACATACTAACTTAAGAATGTTGAGATGAGGGCGAACTCAGTGTCATTACAAGGGTTCATATAAGAGGAAGGCAGAAGGCATGAGTCAGAAAAGAAGTTGTGAGAATGGAAACAGAGGTCAGAGTAAGCCAAGGAGTGTGGCAGCATGTAAGAGCTGGAAAAGGCAAGGCTTTCCTCTCCTAAAGCCCCCCAAAAGAAACAGCATTGCCAAAACCTTGACTTTAACCCAGTGAAACTGATTTTGAACTTCTGAATTCCAGAACACTAAGATGATAATCTATGTTGTCTTAAGCCACCAAGGTTATGGTAATCTGTTTTAGCAGCTATAAGAAACTAATATGAGTAGGGTACAAAGCTTCAATTAGCTTTGAGGTCTATTGCATGGCATGATGACTATAGTAAATGATACTTCACTGTACATTTAAAAATTGCCAAGAGAGGCTTGGCACTCGTAGCACAGTGGTTACAGTGCCAGCCACATACACCAAGGATAGCGGGTTCAAACCCGGCTCAGGCCAGCTAATCAACCACAACAAAAAATAGCTGGGAGTTGTGGCAGGCGCCTGTAGTCCCAGCTACTTGGGAGGCTGAGGCCAGAGAATCACTTAAGCCCAAGAGCTGGAGGTTGCTGTGATGTCACAACATTCTACAGAGGGCGACATAGTTAAGACTCTGTCTGAAATTTATTCTCTTGGCAATTTTTTTTTTGGTGGGGAGACGTTCTCACTGCAAAAAAAGATAAGTCTTTGAGGTAAAGAATGTTAATTATGTGGGCCTGTAAGTTGTTAATCTACTAGTTTCAACTCAGTATTGAGTACATGGAATGCTTGTTTTTGTATCCTTGTGACACTTAGGAAAATGTTCTCCACATCCTTCCAGGTTGTTACAAAAGATACAAATTCTCCATCTTTTTTATGGCTGAATAGAATTCCATGGGAAAGCGTTCAGTAAGTTCACACCCAATGGGTATAATGCATGGGTATATGGCATACTTCCTGGGTGAAGGACACAACTACGAATTATACCACAAACAATGAATATAACCTAATTGCAAATTTTAAAAAGAATATGTTACTCAGCTTGATGTAATTATTCTATTCATAAATCATAACTTCACTTTTACCCCATAAATACGTACAATTACTTATTAATTTACAATAAAAATTGAAAAACCTGGTATCATTGAGAGCAGATCCTTGAATGCAACCACATAAAGATGGCAAATTGCCTTCTGCATGGATATGAATAATTGTGGCTGTAATACAGGCAGCAGTGCTTCTAAGAACCTGGCAGATGGGTGGAGTTAAGAAATGTGCACATGTGGTGCATGATGATGATGGAGGGGAAAACATATCCTATAAGGATTCCAGATGGACACTCGGTGCTCTTCTAAATTAGACAATTTGTATGTGTGAGAAAATAGCTTCTTAGCCCATGTGGGTCAGTCCTTGGCCAGGAAATAATTTCATGTTAATCAGATGCTCCACTGTCCCAGTTTCAAGAAGTATTTGATTAATTTTTCAGATCATGAGTGTTTATACCTATAAATATTTTAAAATCTGTATAGACAGCATAATCTAAAACACTTTATATTAGAAGGTACCTGTTAAATTTTATAGAACACAGAGAAAAGCACATATACATGTGTTAGCCATTGTAACCTCTGTGTTTTACTTAAATAAACATATTTCATTCAAGTATAGCTATGAGCAGTAATAATAGAAACTCATTAATTTCTTAGATCATAAATGAATGTTTCCATTTTTAAAAATGTTTTAAAAAATAGCCTTCGAAGGTAAAAGAGGAATGGGAAAAATAAAAAGGATCATAAGTATTTCAATTAAGAAAAAGACATTTAAAAATCAAATAAAGTGGCTTGGCGCCTGTGGCTCAAGTGGCTAAGGCGCTAGCCACGTACACCCAAGGTGGTGGGTTCGAATCCAGCCCAGGCCCGCCAAAGAACAATGACGCCTGCAACCAAAAAAAAAAAAAAATAGCTGGGCGTTGTGGCAGGCGCCTGTGGTCCCAGCTACTCCGGAGGCTGAGGCAGGAGACTCACTTGAGCCCAGGAGTTGGAGGTTGCTGTGAGCTATGATGTCACAGCACTTTGTCCAGGGGCCAGCTTGAGGCTCCTATCTCAAAAAAAAAAAAAAATCAAATAAAGTGATGGATTCTAAAGTTACCAAAGATTTCTGAATAAATTTTGAATAAATAAGAAAGTGGCCATAAAGAATATAAATTTCTTTTTGAATACAGCTTGCTGTAAAACCATAGGAAATTAAAACATATAAACATTAGAAAAGAAGTACTATTAATATATCCACAAGGGAGTATATGATATAGTGAAACTATAGGAGTTTTTTTTTTATTTTTGAGACGGAGCCTCAAGGTATCCCCCTGGGTAGAGTGCCATGGCACCACACTCACAGCAACCTCCAACTCCTGGGCTCAAGCAAGTCTCCTGCCTCAGCCTCCCAAGTAGCTGGGACTACAGGCGCCCGCCACAACGCCTGGCCATTTTTTGGTTGCAGCCATCATTGTTATTTGGCGGGCCCGGGCTGGGGATTTGAATCCGCCACCTTAGGTGTATGTGGCTGGCGCCTTAGCCGCTTGAGCCACAGGCGCGGAGCCAAACTATAGGAGTTTTGTTACTCTCAAGTTATACCTGCCTAAATTCCCTCAGTGGTAGGGGAAAGTACTTCATAATATATATGAATTTATATATAAAATCTGAATCATTTTAATTTCCTTAATGCTGTGCTAAGTGCTAGGATATAGCAATAGCTACGAAATAAATCCTGCCTCTATGGAACCCATATAGAAAAGACCACGTTACCCAGTGTTGGGCAACAGTACAGCCCTTGTATTACAGGTGTGCACGGGAGACCATGATAATACAAGGGAAAAGGTGAAGAAAATGTCCAAGCAAGAGCCTTTGAACTAAGTCTTATAGACTTAAGAGGGAATTCTAGAAACAGAACATATAGGAAAAGAGGGCTTTCAACATTTCCAAAGCAACTGAAGTGTATGAGTGTCTATTTTTTCTCTACGTGGAGAATACAAAATCCTCTGTTCTAGAAACCATACCTTCCCTTCTTTGATCTTGGTTCCAATAATTTGTCGTCTTTGCTGAATGATCTCAATGAGAAGATCACATTCCTCTGTCAATTTGGCTTCTTGACGTGATGCATTGACCTACAGGATAAGTATTACACAACAGTGTTACTTTGGCCTTTGTTTTCAGTTAAATGCTATTTTTAATGTAGACTAGTATGTTTCTAATAACTGAAAAGGTATTTTAAATATCAACAAGGATGGCAAATACAGGATTTACATGCCTACTCCCTATCTTGTATCCTTGGAAAATGTTATTATCCAATCACAGCAATCTTTGCTAAGCCAAACTCAGCCTCAAAAATCTTTAACACACATACACGTAGCCATTACCGATTACTTGGAAATTGATATATAATGTGGAATCTATTTGCAATTTCTGCTTTTATATAATTTTTTTCAAAGTATCAAATTTGCCCTGTTAAACATCATAAAGTGTCAAAAAACAATCAATCTTATTCTTTTATGGAAGACAGCTTGCTATCAATGTCTTTTAGACAAAAAATCCAAAAGCAATGTAGCAAGCTTATATCACATTTATTCAACATTTCAATTTCATATTTAATCACTATAAAATATCTAAAAACACAAAAAAGATGGTCCAACATTTTATTAATCTCATGATGTAATTTTAAATTTGCTCCTGAAAGACCACAGTCCTACAATGAATGTATACCATTTTTGTAGAAAGGGGGATTATTACCGAATGGCTTGCATTTGAAGTTTCTGTGACTCATTTTATGCTTATTAGCTCATTCTTGGCAACTGGGCTTGGGAAATACTCTGAGCATGTTATTTCCTCCACCTCATGACATTCTGAAATGCTTATTCACAAGTAGAAACTCAGAAATCACAGCTGTGGGAGATGGGGACAGCATGTATGAGTTTTATTATTTTAACACAGTCTCAGGAGAAGTTGTAATGTTACAAAGAATGACAATGGCACTGATTATTCTAGCATATCTCAGGGAGGAGAACATGGCCCAGTCATTAGCCCTGTTGATGTGAGAGACTTTAACTGGAGTAATTTCATTCCCTATGAATGAGATAAACTGAAAAGACGGTCATTAGTTCAGGATAAAAAAGTCACTAAAGGCTGCTCAGAGAAGCCATGTTCTGTTTCCAGAGGCCGAGGATTCCTTGAATTTTATTTCTGATTGTTATCAGATGCAGCATGGAGACTACTCAAGGTATCTTCCTGTTGAGATGATGGTGGCCATTGGCCATTTGCAGCAAACCATGAGATTATATCCTACATCAGATTAATACCTAGAGGTATTTGCTAAACATTTGTCTAATGAACAAAAGGAAAAAATTAAAAAATGCACTGATTGAGAGGTAGAGCAGATGAAACTTAGGCTAATATTTCAAGTAAGATATTCACTGGATAAGAGAAGAGATACTGGGCTCAGTATTTCTTACCATTATTTTTATGTCATCATTTCTAGTTCCCCTTCAGGTTTCTCTAATAAATTTAGCTGTCTATTGAAATATTTATTTGAAACTTAGGCTCATAAATTTGTCTTTCCTTTTGACCTCAAATTGAATGTAATAAGTGACCACAACTGAGCTGATGGAATTATATTTGTTAATGTTGAGCACATTATGATAGAGGAAATGAAATTTCTGGAAAGTAGCAGTGACAAGGATTCTTTGTTTGACCAAACTTTATCCTAGGTCCATCTGTACTTTTCCTTGTAAGGTCCTGTTTTAAGAAGAACTCTGCTGATTTGGTTTAATCAGAATCCTATTTGCTCACCCTTAATATCTGATTGGGTTCCTTATCCCTTAACCAGCCCTCAGGTGCTGTCTAAGCTCCCTGGTCTGCCTTCAGCAAAAATCTTGTTAGGTTGGTTTAGCTAGAATCCCCCTCTTAGTCATGTATCATCCACTGACTGCAGCCTACTTTTTGGCTATAAATCCCCACTTGTCCATGAGGTGTTGGGAGTTGAGCCCCATTCTGTACTGAGGTGTCTTTCCCTTTGTAACAGTCCTG